AGGACAACAAACGAGGGGCTGTGACAAACTGTTTCGTCGGAGTTTCACCGACTCATCAGGAGGCTGAACCCTCAACAGTCTGCAGAATATATATACATATAGTCAAACAGAGCTGCCCGGTAAACCGTAGGCAGAGAGGGAGAAGAGGACAACAAACAAGGGGCTGTGACAAACTGTTTCATCGGAGTTTCACCGATTCATCAGGAGGCTGAACCCTATATATATTGTCACAAAGTTATCAGAGTGCAAAAGCAAAAACAAAACAAAAGGAAACAAAACATATATCAATTCATTTTTTTTATCTTCTTCCTTACAACTCCCCCTGTTCAGAACCTCTTGCGTACAAGGCCGCCCACATGGATGTAGGTTGAGCGGCGGCTGCCCCCACCCCCGTGTGTCATATCGACCCACTTGCACACAGCCAAAAGGCAAAGAGGCAAAGAAAAGAGGAAGGGAACAGCCAAATAAAACAAAACAGGGGGCAACCAGATCCTGGATGACAAGCCCGACATGTAAGCACCGCCCCCAAACAACGGGACAAGACCAACCAGGATATCAAAACACTCTTGCCTGCAAAAAAAAGAAATCCCAAATACATATCTATATACAGCAGATGGCCGTGTTTGTCATCAAGACGTGGGTATTCCCATTCCTAAACCATTCATGTTCTCATAAGCCCGAACAACAACAAAAAAAAAAAACGGATGACTGGTCCCGCATGAAAGCACCGCTACGCTCGCCAAAATAGACCGAACCGAACAACAGCTTGCTTGCCTGCACATTCCCATCACGCACCCATCGCGAACTCGTTCTTATCAAGCATGCATTGATCTCACACACTTGACTGGAAGCACTACTTTTTTCACACTCGATTGGAACTTCACTTGTAAGTTGTTGAATACACGCGGCGATAGTGTGATCAAACCGCTGGAAAATTATATACACCTGGCATGGGCACCCAATCCCCGTGTTCACAACCCATCAAGCAGACAGTGAAGTGATGGGAAATAGAGCCAGAGTTTAGTGGCTATGACCGTGCCCTGTCTTACCCTAGGCCTACTGGGCCGAACAACGGGACAAAACCAATCGGGATGCCAAAAAACAAACATAACAGATCCTAGATGACAAGTTCCACATGCAAGCACCGCCCCGTACATCACAGGCCAAACGACAGGACATTGACCAACCAGGATAGCAATCAACACCCTTGCCTGCAAAAAAAAAAAAAAAAAAAAAAAAAAAAA